GCTCTTAGCATACAGCTTTATGTCATCCTTGTAGAGGAGGTGACTGATCGTAGCTCCATTTCTGAGGCGGTATCCATAGCCTGTCTTGGTGATTACTTGGCTTAGGGGGTTCAGTCCTATGCAGAACAGCAGTGGGGAGAGTGCATCACCTTGGTATATTCCACATTTGATGGACACTTGGGTAAGTGGCTTGCCATTAGCTTCAAGTGTGGTTTTCCACATCCTCATCGAGTTTGCAATGAAGGCTCTTAGGGTCCTGTTCACCTTATACAACTCCAAGCATTCAGTGATCCGTGTATGTGGCATTGAGTCATAGGCTTTCTTGTAATCAATCCAGGCTGTGCACAGGTTGGTATGTCGGGACCTGCAGTCTTGTGCGACTGTTCTGTCCACCAGGAGCTGATGTTTGGCTCCTCTGGTATCTCTACCAATGCCCTTCTGTGCTTCGTTCATGTATTGATCCATGTGTCCACTTATCTTAGCCGCAATGATGCCTGACATGAGCTTCCATGTTGTGGAGAGACAGGTTATTGGCCGATAGTTGGATGGGACTGCACCCTTTGAGGGATCCTTCATGATCAGGATCGTTCGCCCTTCGGTTAGCCATCCTGGGTGAGTCCCATCCCTCAGCAATTGGTTCATTTGTGTTGCTAGGCGCTCATGGAGTGCTGTGAGTTTCTTTAGCCAGTAGGTGTGGACCATGTCCGGGCCTGGTGCTGTATATCATATATATATATATAGCGTGTATATATACACACACACACACACACATGCATCCACTTTCATCATTGGAAGGTTTGGTGAGCAAAAGCTACGTAAAAATCTTTGGCCTCATCTTCTTTCAAGAAAAGTGTCCGCTTTTATATGAGCATTTTATGCAAATGATGATTTGTTGTTAAATTTGGTTTTAATTGACAGATAATCCACATTAATCTGTCATATGTATCTCTGGGAGGATATTATTTCGTTTAATATAAAATGAAGCTCAACTAATCCTATTTGTGATGCGCGAGGCTGTCCTTTTACTTTATTATGTGTTGTTTCATTGTCCCGTTGCTTTCATCGCCCTCATTATTATCATATTTTCAAAATCCGGGTCAGTGTCTCACTCACGCTTTCGTTGCCGTCCCACCCCTCCCTTCGAGGGAACAATAAGTAGCATGTGTGCGAAGGATCAGGCAGATTCACTGTGCGGGAATTAGGACCCTGAATGGCTCACACTAATTGGACTTGAATGGACTTGTCTCTGGGAAAGCAGTTCTTAAAGATGAGTCTCTTGTGTAGAATGACGGCCCAGCATGCTGTGTGAAGTGGGTTAGAGTGCGCGACTGTCTTCGTGTCATACACTGCATACACACAGGTGCACGTACGCACGCGCACACACACACGCACACACACACACACACACACACACACACACACACACACACACACACGATGCTAATAGCCCTCTCCTTCTGAGGAGACACTCAGATGTGAGCGTGAAGATTTCAAGGTTGTCGCCATCCTGTCTTGAGAGAGTAAGTGAGAGCAATTAATGCCTTGTTAAGGCTAAAGGGGATGCAGATTAATTTGACACTCACTCCTTATCTCACATAAGTTTCCTGTAAGAGAGGCTGATGAGCAAAGGCATACAGACCACCCCGTTACTCCGGACTGTTTTCGTTGAGAGGTTGGCTGACATCATTTCATCGGGAATCAATTTGCGTCCTGCCTGCCTATTTTCCTCCCTGATAATTGGAGTTCCACATCCAATTTGACAAGATCAGAATATGGACTAGTAGCAGCTCCATTACCAGTTATTTAAACATTCCGGACAAAATGTTGTTTTTTTTTTTTTTAAATCAATCTCATTGAGCATCTAAACAACCTCAAGCAGGGCCAGAATTGTCATTTTATTTCAAAGGAACGATAGTTTTGCGATACAACAGTTGTCACAATATTTTTAACAGAAGGAGGAAACGCCTAGAGAATCACATTGGCATGAATGTGAACAAAATTATCCAGTCCAATGAAAATCAATTGTTTTTTTACAGCAATTATGTGATTCACCTTTAAAAAAAACACAAAATAAAATAACAAATACTTTGTAAATAAAATAACAATAGATAAAACAATATACTGAACATAAATGAAAATAGAGCAAATGACTTAAAAAAAGAACTATTAAAAAATATTAAAAAAAAAAAAGTTCCAAGAGCCCCTCTCACCAAACACCATCACTTTTGTTTCGTTTTCATTAAAATGTAAAAAGGTCCAGAGCATCCAGGCTCTAATGTCAAGACAAAACAAATGGTTTTACTGGAATCCAGACTTCCATCAACACAGCAATGGAAGAAAATGCTTTCTCAAGATTGAAGCCAAAGGCAGAAAATCGAAATAGAAAAGCAAGGGGCCCTAAAATTGAACCCTGACAAGAAAGCTTTGCTGGCTTTCACTACTGGCTCTCAGGACTCCATGATTTGCACTTCAGATGTCTTACAAAGACATATTCATATCCGTTTGTGCTTACATGCCTGGCTTGCACACTTTCAAGTTGTGGAAATTCTCACGGCCAGACTTCTGACACACCCACAATGTGTCAGCTGGAAATTTGTGTACAACCACCAAAGAGGTGTGATTTGGTCAAGTCTAATTTCCATAATTGTGGAGTTGCAAGAGTCATGTGATTGTGAAATTAACTTGTGGAGTGGATCCAGAGGTGATACTAATAATCGTCAGTGACATATGTGCGCCTCATCTAACGGGCTACTTTAGAGGAACATGTTTGACTCCATTCTGTGTTTAATAAGTACAATCAAAGCATTTTTAATCACAGTACTGTGCACATGATGGAATGTTCGTTGCATCAGTAGTAAAGCTAACGGCCGAAGCTTGGACATTGGACAGCGACAATGTCCATATCTGTCACTCGAATAACAGAGCAAAAAAATAACAAAGAACCAATGGAGACAATTTATGTTGATTGTGCACATTCAAATTGTCTTGTCCCCAAAATGTGCCAAGCTGCAGCGCATGCAGTTCTTAACGTTTGCTTCTCTGGCATGGTTGCGGGAAGGGCGAATGAAGTGGCTGATGGGGGTTGCGGTGCAAGCATCAGTTGACACTTTTTTCTGATGCTGCTCCTTTTCCCTCTTTTGGTTGTGAATACAAAGTGGCGTGCCACACGCTCTGCCATTTGGATGATCTGAACTGGGGTGGGGGAAGTGCGCGGATTGGTGTTTAGCAAAGCATGTGGCTAGAATTTTTGATGATGGTTGTGTATTGATTCATGAGTGCCCCAACTTATGAGTTTTTTTTTTTTTTCCAGTTACAAGCCTTCAATTGGTCAGTTTGTTTTGCTTTTTTAAGACACACAGCTAAGCCACACAGTTGTGACTTCCCTTTTAACCCAAGGTAAAGTGGATAGGGCACGGCACTACCGGCAAATGGCAAAAAAACCCAAAAAACCCCCAAAGATAATTGACACACATTATGAATGCATTGAAAAGGAAAAAAAAAACTAAACACCAAACAAATATTGAAAAAATAATACAGACTTGAAATACATGTCCCGGTAACTTGTGTTACGAGTCACAGAACAAATTAAACTCATAAGTCAAGACACTACTGTACTCTTGATCTCACTATTGCAATGGCCAACCATGGCACTGCAGCAAAGCACATTATTAAAACATTCATCTGTTTTTTTTTGTTTTTTTTTGCATCATAATATTTGATGAATGATGTGTGTTACTGATGTGTGATACTGCACCCTTTTTGACACACAAACACCGTTTCCCCAGCCTGTTTAACCACCTCCTCGGTATAAAGCCCTCCGACACAACAATCCCCTGCATGCTCACCATCTTTTCAGAATCCCCCCCCCCCAATCCTGTACAGGCCACGTCCGTACACAAAGATGTCTTGTAAGAATGCAGAACTTAATCTCCATGTCAAAGCTGTTTTTCCGCCTCACCAGCCTCCCACTCACACACACACACACACACACACACACACACACACACACACACACACACACACACACACACTTTCACTAGGTTCTAAGTGCGTTTCAGTGTTTTGTGTATTTTGCACACACAATGCCAACCAATGCCTGGACCCTGTCAGGATGTTGCTTCTGTTCCTTCTCAACATCAGATGACTTTCGTTGGACTTTTCTGACCCCTCCTCTACATGTTTGCAGTTCAACCGCTGCATCACGTCTCAGCTGATCAAGTGGTTCAGCAATTTCCGAGAGTTCTACTACATCCAGATGGAGAAGTATGCCCGGCAGGCTATCAATGAGGGTGTGACTGGTGTCGAAGAGCTGGCGGTGGGCCGTGACGCCGAACTCTTCAGGGCGCTTAACATGCACTACAACAAAGCCAACGACTTTGAGGTAGGCGAAGAAACATGTCGACGTAACTGTCAGAATGTTGTCTTTCTTCAACACTGCCAGAAAAATTTCTTTGAAATTTTCACGACAGTGCTACCTTGACTGAAGAGTGATTCTTAGCCTCCCTTGAAATTTTTCATTATTTCTCTGCGTCAAGAACCCTATTGAAAATATTATAATAGTGAATCTAAGACAGCTGAAGTAGTTCAGGTCAAGGTTCAAAACAAGATGAAACATTTCACCCCAAAAAAAAATCATCTTGGGGAATTAAATAGGAAGCCTTGAATTTCAAAACACACCCGATCAAAGTAGACCACAATACAACTCAACGCTGAGTGAGGCATTATTCATAAGACTAAGAGCAAGAAACTCAGAATTTTGAATGACATCCAGTGGGAAATACTGAAAGTAGCTTGGGGTTAAATGTTTTACACAAATTGGCTTCAGCAAACGCCCTCCAAGTCAGCTGTTGGGAGCGCAACAGTCGCCTCCTGATTTTCTGCTGAGGAATGGACCTTGCAGCGTGTGTGTGTGTGTGTGTGTGTGTGTGCGTGTGTGTGTGTTTGTGTGTGTGTGTGTGTTTGTATGTGTTTGTGTGTCTTCGACGAGGCAAAAGAGGACGCCGCTCAAGGCATGGGTGTCCTTGTCAAAGCGATTTGCAGAAGTCACATTCTCCCCCTCACGTCTCTCCTCCCAATATTAGTCTCAGGGGACCCGAGGGCCTTTAAACTCTGACACAACATCAGCAGCATTTAGACGTCCATTAGCGTTATGCACACGAGTGAAAACACACTTTCTATTTTTTTTCTGCACTTATTGAGAAGAAGCTTGAAGAGATAACCCTCCACTGTTCGTATTTTGTACAACTGGAGTTGGGTGACTTAAGTCACACATGGTAAGCATTTAGGTCCCGAGTTTGTTTAGGATTCTTATTTTTAGTCGATGGATTATCTTGGCTCAGGTGCTTAGGGGTCTATTTTGAAGAGCCTCCTTTCAAAACCGGTGAGTTCAGCTGTTAGACTTTTTCAGTGAAATGAAGCTGCCATCCTCCAAATGCGGCATGAGGAGACGCGTTCCAAAATTCCCTGCCTTAGTGTGACGCCTGCATCCACCTTCACCTGCCTCCTTCCTTTGTCTGCCCGGAGGGAACATTACAGGCCAGGGACTCTTTCTCTTTGTCAAGCTTGGAGGCGTGAAACCGGAACCGCGGCCGATTCAGCAAGTCTCCGTCGCGCACAGGAGTCTTCTCCTTTTAGCCAAATTTAGCATCACGGTTCCACCTTGATTTGTCCCTCGTCAGCCCTCCACGCCCCTCCCCCCTCCCCCATTGTCCTTCGGACTCTGTCCTCCTCATCGGTTATCAACCTCGCTCATCTTTCGCAGTTCTCTCCTCATCTCCTCCCAGCTCACCTGTCCGCTGCCTGGTTACCACTACTTAGACATCTACTTAGCATCACAGAGTTCAAGTAAGAACTTTTCACGCTAATTTGCGCACAGTCAGCATCTAATTTAAATGATTTCCTGGCGATGATATTTCATTCATTCTGTGTTTGAGCATGTGTTGGCATAATTATTGCATCTCCATTAATTACCTTGTCTTCTCTCCAGCCACATTTTTTTCACAATTCTTCTTTCGTTTACACCTCACTCTCCTCCAGCATCCCCTCTGTACACAACCTCCCCCATCGGCCAATCCCCTCCCCCACCGTTGCACACCGCCCGTTCTCTGGAAGTATTTTGTCCTAATTACGGCTCGACCGCCAGCTAATGAGGGAGGCGTGAGGAGGGGGCGGCGATAGAAAGGGAAAGGTAATGGGGAATAGTCTCAACTTCAAAAAACAAAAAGAGACAGAGGGATTTTCTTTGCCAGGACACTCGGGGGAAGGTGTCAGCTTCTAGCCACTGCCAAGAGGAAGAGAAATGTTTCCTTTTTGTTTTGTTTGTTTTTGTTTTGTTTTTTTTAACTTTCTTTTGGGAACAGACTGACGAGTCTCCATTAAGTCTGCCAGCAGCACTGGGCATGATATCGTTAACTCGCTTTTGTGAGTTTAAAAAGTTGTGAAATATTTGCACAATGAGCCGATGTACGTGACTCATGTGGTGGCCCTTTGCACTACAGATCAGCAACATGATACAATGAACTTTAAGCTTTAAAAATACACACGCACATGAGTTTACATACTTGTAGCAGAACATTTCTACAATTTTAAGTACTTTTATTTGTGGCCAAAGATGCACACACACACGCACACACACACACACACACACACACACACACACACACACACACACACACACACACACACAGCCATGTACACAAGAATACATTTGCAGACAGATATTCATTTGTGATGATCTGGACAAGACCCCTTGAAGGGTGGGGTGGTGACTCACAAATTCTGCCCTTTGACTTCAAATGAAACACATGCTCACCTTAGTGGTGGCGTGGGAGGGAGGGGGGTGGGGTTCACATTTCAGGAGTATCCGATTTCATAAGCACTGTGCCACATAAAAGGTTCGACTTCTCATGCCTTTCTGTGTTACTTTCTCTTTCATCTTTCCTCTCGTCTTATTCATCCATTCATTCGTCTTACTTCCTATTCTTTCCCATGTCAAGAGGCCCTGCACCAATGGCAGCGGCCCATTCTAATAGCGGCTTGATTTTTTTTTTTCTTTGAATAGTTACGGCTCTAAATTAAATACTGTTAGGCGGCCATCTGATTTGTTGGATTTTCTTTCGTCGCTTAATCAAAGCAACCACTGATACAGAATCCTCATTTACTTATCGATGCAAATGAGCTGCTCATCAAGGTTTCATGGAGATTGAAAACAAGTTTGTGACGCTAGTGGACAGAGAGAAAACCTTGCTGCAGACAAAGCCACCTGCCAGTTTCTGTCACTATAAATATAGCGATGTGGTCAGAGAATGCGTGTGTGCATGTGGGCGCATGTGCAAGTGTCTTCCAGTTGGGACGAAGAAGAAGAAGGCATCGTCTTTGTCACTGAGCCATGAGGAGTCACGAGGGGACGGTTTATGTGTTGCTGTGTGGGCTTCGTGTGTGTGTGTGTGTGTGTGTGTGTGTGTGTGTGTGTGTGGATACACAGTGAGTCCTCTCCGCAGCTGTCTCCTCAGCTTTGACAATGGGCCGGCTAACAAAGACGTGGCCTCGAGCCGCTGTCATGTGATACGAGTGGTCTGCAGCCTCTCGGTCAGATGACCCAGGCTATTGTCCTCTTCGGTGACACACACATAAGCAATCTCAGAATGCAGACCCTTCCTCTAAGAACAAAGAGCAACTTAACCACTGTCCTTGTGGTGATGCTGAGACTAATGACTTGATAACTGTTTTCATCATGCTAATCCCTCCAAAATATACAATTGGCACTATAACGGTGTATACATACCCCTGCTGCCCTATTATAAAAAAAAAATCATGAAATGCTTTGGCTGAGTTTCAAATTTAGAGATGTCACCAACATGAAAACCACAGCATTATCTATGTGTGAAAAAAAAAGCACTTGTCCAGCTGATAGGAGGCAGAAAATGAATCAGAGCCACCGCACAAACATTCTCCACAGCCAAATGAGTTCAGTGTAATAGCCCAAGAAAATGGTCATGATGAGATCACAGCCACTCTGATAAATAGCTCCAAAAAACACTGTTCTCATATTTTGGTAAACGACAGTTGCGTCACTCTTGTGATGAAAAAGGACAATACGATTCTTCAACAAGTGGGACATGAGTTGTACCACTGACAATCAACCAAACTTAAGCATTATTATCCTTGAACATCTTTGGATCTCCTTAAACTATGCATCAGTGCCTAATGTTGGTGTCGGAAAAAGGGGACGGAGGGGGGGATCAGACATGTCAAAGCAAGAGAACAATATTTTTGGACCCAAGTATTAGAACAGGAGAATGTGACGAAAGCCAGGCCTGAAAGCAGTGACGGTGTACAAGAGGAAAAAGGAAGCAGATGCTTGTCACTTGGCAGAGATTTTCACACACACACGCACACACACACACACACACACACACACACACACACACACACACACACACACACACACACACAGAATAATAATAATGACCAATAGCAAGTGCATCTCCATTGTCAGGAGAGAGTCACATACGTCAGTATATACTTGCAGTAAAAAGCATCATAAGTTTAATGTACTTTTCCCTCAGCAAGAGACGGTAATGAAAGCAACACTGGCATCACTTGATGAAGATGAAGGCAGGATAAAAGTGTCAGTGCATGAAGTACCCCTTATTATCCATATTGGCACACGCACTCGACGCAATAAGTATCTTTCTTCTAGTTAGCCCCCCGAATGGCCTGACTCAACATGCTTGTCATGTGCACCGATTATTAGCTCAGGTGCCGTTCTTGTCTAACCACAGAGTTGATCTGACGATGTATTTTGTGTTCATCTGTGCGTCGTGTCCCTGGCAGGACAGTGACAGAGGGTCTCGTTGAAACAACTGTGGTCTCCAGGGGCCTGCTAAAAAGAGAGAGAGGGCAGATGTAGTGAACAAGAGTCTGGGGAATCATTTAGTGTGCGTATGTGTGTGTGTGGGGAGGGGGAGTGGGGGGGCAATCCATCCGTTCTGGTGGCGTCTAACCTTGGCGTGTCCTGCCACGTATGACAGGGTTACACACTTTGGTGAAGTGTCGAGGATCATGCGCCTTGTCTGGAGGAGTCAGCAAGTATATGTGTATGCGCATACATCGGCATTCAAAAATGAGACACAAAAAGGTAGCGAAAAGGGAGAGCAAGCTTGTCAGATTGTTTAGTGTCTTTGTATGTTCTTGCCCCCGGGAGAGGGGCAGGAAAAAAAAAACAGGCCCGTGTGTGAGTGTGTGTATTGTTCTGCTTGTTAGGAACACACACACATATACAGACGGGAATCATGTGAGAAAGGACAATGGGAACTTTGCAACTGTCCTTTAAAAAAAAACCCACCTGAATACACAAGATGTGTCTCATCATTTTGACAACCACATGTGAAAATGTGTTTGGAGATAGATCTGGAAACATATTTGGGGTCTTGCAGGTGCCGGATCGATTCCTCGAGGTGGCCCAGGTGACCCTTCGTGAGTTCTTCAACGCCATTGTGGCTGGCAAAGATGCGGACCCGTCATGGAAAAAAGCGATCTACAAGGTGATCTGCAAGCTGGACAGCGAAGTCCCTGAGACCTTCAAGTCCCCAAACTGTCTGCAGGAACTGCTGCATGACTGACAAGGAGGAGGAAGGCAGCAAGCCCGGCCAGTGAAAATGTGAAACTAAACATGTTGTTTGAAGGTGTGGTTCGATGAACCTCGTGACGGATGTTGAGATGCGAAGAAGTTCGTCGTGGACAAAGACAACATTCTTCCCGACGGTCGCAAGAAACAAATGCACTTAAAGATGTTCTTCTTCCTGGGCCGTCCAATGCATGTTCTTCATCTTATTGCGGACAGTGAATGGAACCAACTAGAAATAAAGAAGATAATATATACATATGAAGATCTTTTTATTGTGGATGTTTTTAACTGTCATGGACATTTATGAGGGAGGTGGGGGGGAAAAGTGATGTTTCTGTATTTTTGCTTTCCTCCTTTGTGCAAACTTACACAGTCTCACATGCACGCCAACGCACACTTCCCGATTAGTAAAGCTCGGTAGCATTCCCGCAAAGCTGTTTCTTTCCCTCCTATGTTTACAACCGGTTTGTCTCATTCAGTGTGGCAAGACTTGATGGCTGTTTGTTTTGAAAGTATGGCACGTGTCGTCGTCAAGCACCACTGAGTTTAACATTAGGAAGCCTATTGTACTTTTTTGTGTGTTTGCAGCTTCATTTGACAAATGTTCATTCCAAATATTAACATTGGAATATGAGTTGGCTTTCTATTTGATAGTCGGTGATACATCAGTCAAAAGATCTGAGGGCATCTGTTTCCTTAAGTGAACGGTTGGATTTGCTGTACTGAAGTGTTTACTGGACTCAAAAATGATCATTCTCCACAACAATCATTCCTGTCTCTGCTGGTCATTCAATTTTTCACAATTACTTCCTCCTCCCCGGTGTGTGTGTGTGTGTGTGTGTGTGTGTGTGTGTGTGTGTGTGTGTGTGTGTGTGTGTGTGTGTGTGTGTGTGTGTGTGTGTGTGTGTGTGGGGGGGGGGGGATCGTGCTAGAGGGATAGAAAACAATTTGCACAAATTTAAATCTCCCATCTAATGGTGTCTACGGACGAAAAAATAAATACATTTCTCAAATTTCTTTCTACTTTGGGCATTCATGGGGGTCAAAAAAGCTGAAAGGGTCATGTGCAACACTTTTTAAAAGCAGGAAAATAAACACACTGCTGTCTTTTTAGATGCTGTAACCATTCTGACCATCCTGATCTTGTTTTATTTATGATGATAATTGTTGCTTGTGGAGGCTCTCAGTCGTACAGGAAAGTTCCATCGTAGAAAGGGTTCTGTCAGTCAAAAATTTTCACCCTCTCTGAACCGTGAAGGAGGTATCAGATTTAACCTGTCTCCTATTTACAATAACTTGTTGACCAGTAAGGGACATAGACATGCTGATCAGGCTAACTGAAAGTAGCTATTCAGCCTTAGCCCAAACAATAGGCCTAATCAAGACCCAATGATAGGGAGTTTAGAAACCAATGGGCCTCTTCACCATAGGGGCGTGACTAACCATCCCCACCCAGTCCTCAAACAGGCCACGCTCAGCCTTTTAGCGCAGAGCAACTTCCCGGAGTCTTCACGGAGACTTCAGGGTTGTCTACCGCTGACGAAGCTTCTGTGAGAGAAGCGAAACGTCCTTTTTTGTTTTTTGTTTTTTGTTTTTTACCCACAGGTACAGATGACGACTGACAGAACCCTTTCTACGATGATAATTGTTGTAAATATTATTCTGAGGCTAATTCTTCTTATGAAAGCTTGCTACAGATTGGACCTCTCGTTTAGTCGTCCATCACACTGCAACATGACAATAAATTATTGACCAAAAAAAAAAAAAAAGTAATAATAAACAAACAAAATGGAGTATGTTTTATTTTGTGGCATTCACCATCAAACCAGGCAGTAACCAGGCAACATGATGGCCACTTTAACTGCGTCGCCCTCGCTCGCTGTGTTCTCCATCAGGACATGTGAAACCTCCTTGTTGTTGCTGATGAATTGAAAAGACGAGCGCTGTGTGATTATTGTCAGCACAAAAGCCTCAAAAAGCTGCTGACGCCTAGATTAGCCAGTACAAAGACGCAGGGGCAGGGCACGCACGCATACACAAACTCACACGTGAGTACACACATGGCCCATCTGCCCTTGATACCGAGCATCCTCCCCTGGTGCTCCTCTGTCCCTATTTTTGGGGACCAAGCCTCTTCCATGATCGCGTTTTCATCTCTTCTCGTGAAGTGGCACTCACCATCGACACATACTGGGCGTGCATGACCACACCGCACACATGCCCGTTGTCCACCGGCACAAGATGGACTCAAGCGGCAGCAATCCAGTGTACCTCAACCACCCCGACCAAAGGGGAGGGGAGCGCGCACCTCTGCTACGCCACATACGAACACAAAAGTCATCGCTCAAAACGAAAGGCACACTTCAGCTGTTTGTATTTGGGATGCACCGATTCTCAGCCGGGCCGATTATTGGCGCTAATGTTCAGCGTTTTACTCATATCGGCATCGACCTTTTTCAAAAATCTGATGCCAGTACAAGAAATCACTTGCAGACTGTGTTCACGTAATTTAGTTTGAAAAATGGCTGCTGAACTCCCTGCACTTTTTATTTTAGTTTGAACTTGAAACAAAGCGAAATGTAAGTTCAATATTTCAATTTGATTAAAATGTTGGATAATTTTATTTACTATAGGGAGCTCTTTATTTGTTGAAGTTTCCATTTTCTATTACATGCTGCTGCACTGCGGAGCTCCCTGCACTTTTTCTTTTTCATTTTAAAACACGGATGTCTGCTGTCTTAAGATTAAAAAAAAAAAAAAAAAACCTTTAACAGCGCAAATTTGAAATGATGTTTTAAAAAAACGTGTTTGAAGGCATCGCAATGAAGTGGTGGACTTTGAATTTCCAAAAAATGATGGCGACAAATATGTTCCCTTTTTCTGCAAAGGAATATTGGTTATCAGCCTCTTTGACCACCAACAATCAGTATCAGTCTTGCCCTGAAAAAAACATCAGTCTCCCTGTATCTTATTTCTCTCTATTTTAATTCATGAATATTCATTATTTTTTGCGATACCTAAAACTTTCAAGCATTTTAGAATCTATGAATAGTGCGTGGAGTTTGCCTGTTCTCCTCGATGCTTGTGTAGGTTTTTGTTAGGGTACTTCAGTTTCTTCATGAAAGTCAAAAAGTATTAATGTTCCACTCATTTTTACAAGTCTAAATAATTTCTAGATGTGAATGGGACTACTATAAAATGGCCATATTGATGAAAATAATAGGATAAAAATATTCATCTTCAAGTCAATGTAGCCTATAATTATTAATTTTCAAAATGACCCGATACCGAGCAGAGAATACAACAGAAAAAGCTTCTATTTTGCCCCACAATGGGATCATTTGTGTTTTTATAGCTCTGAATAGACAGCAGCAAAACATGAGAAGCAGTTACGTAAAGCAAATCGAGTAACAATGTGATGGATAGGACCTGTCAAAGTTTGCTCATATTTTTCTCAATGCTTATGATGCTATAAATGAAAAGTTGAGTCCAAACCTAACTGGTACCGTCAACTGCACGTATTGTAAACACTTTTGTAGATGTTCTATGAGATTTCAAAGTTAACGATCTACACGGCAAGGTAAGAGCATTGGCGTGAATCCAGCAACCAGTAAAAGACAGAACGTGTGGCATCGGCAAGGACTGTTAACTATGCTAATGTGTGAATGTGCACAAAAAAAAAAAACAAAAACAAAAAACAACAACAACAAGAAACCAATACCACAAAAGTTAAACCATCCAGGGAACCATTATGATGTTGATTTCGATGAGGATTCAGAGCCGGGTTTCACTCTATCATGAATTGTTTGGCTTTGGCAGAGGTCTGTATGTGGGCCTACCTAGACTACGGAAGATGAGTATCCGTCCGTGACTGTAGAAGCACTTGTAAAGACAATAAAACGCACAGACGGAGCGAGATGAGGGGCTTCCCGTGTGCCAAAGTGTGGGACTGACTGAACCAGAGGTGGGGTGGGGGCATGTTACGTTCTGTATGATCTCTCTCTCTCTCTCTCTCTCTCTCTCTCTCTCTCTCTCTCACACACCGTCTGCCTAGTAAAGCACATCTGAACAGTGCAACAATAAAACAGCTGTGTTTGTGTTGGCCTGCTGATTATTTCTTTGTCAACTCACACACACACACACACACACACTCACACACACACACACACACACACACACACACACACACACACACACACACGAACACGGTCTCAACTGAGATGGCATGATATTGTACGTCGTGGGTGAAGGCCTCGCTTATGGAGTAAGGGGCGAGTAACAGAAGGTGACTTGTTTTGAAGATGGATGAGCTGGGACTCCACAACGGATGCAACACTTGCCAACGATCACTCCCAAACACCACAAGACTCCAAGCTGAAAAAAAGACGTAAATGACGCAAACGTCCAACAGACGAGTGATGCAAACTGGACCGCCGGCTTTTCGAGCACACTGCAATCAGCCAGCACTGCAGGTTTATTTGCTTCAATTCTCAAAGATGACACCCAAATGCATCTGTTGTCGCTCTGCAACAGCTGTTTTCAATCCCCAAACACTCAGCAGCACCCCCTACCGCATCTTTTTTCTATTCATTATGACCTCAAGCCATCCGCCCTCTGTCTTTCTTCTTTCCTCTCGAGTCATCACCGCCCCCCCCCATTCTTGAGGCATCTTTCCAGCATCTTCCGCATCCTCAGACCGTGCATCCAAATTCCTTCAGTGCCGTAATGCCTCACTATATCGCAGTTCACCTATTACGGCTCTTTTTTTTTTTCATACTATAGCTACCTTGTTAAGGCAACGGATTCTGACAAAGCCATCACATGGAAGGCGCACTGGCATGATAACACAACAGCAGCATGCATGTCAACCCAAAAATACAAAAGGCAGTGAAGGAGATGAAGAAGGAAACTTTAAATGGCTGTTGGAAAAAGTTGTGGCCCGAATGTGTCCATGAGTACAAAGAGTTATTTCCTGATGAAATTGTTCATTTTCGAGTAGACAAGGCACACGGTAGTCAAAGCTGCTTCAATGACATGACACACCCTAATGTGTCAGACTTCTTTCATGAAAAACCTTTTTTTATTGTATTCCATTATTATTATATATGTACATTCTCTGAATATTGAAGCCGTGTTTCGATGACTTTTACCAGCTGAAATCCAGACTGAAGGGTTGCAAGCACCAAGTAGACCAGGAGAAACTTATCAATGCTTTTATCTCCAATAGACTTGATTATTGCAATGGTCTTCTGGTTGGTCACCCTAAAAAAAAAAGCATCAAACAGCTACAGGTCATTCAGAAAGCTTGAGCGTGGATTTTGAGCAGAGCAAAGAGATCAGAACATATTACTCCAGTTCTAAATGCTTTACACTGGCTGCTACTGGTCTATCAATCACTAAATGGCGTGGGTCCTGAATGCATGAAGCAAATCCGATTTGAATCTACAGTAAACCCAGCAGGGCTCTGAGGTCTGCAAACTCGGGTCAACTAGTGGAGCTCAGAGTTCGAAGCAAACGTGGTGAAGCAGCATTTAGCTGTGATGTTGCACGCAAATGGAATAAGCTGCCAAGAGAAGGGAAGTCAGAATCACCTTTATTGGCCAAGTATGCCAAGCACACAAGAAATTTGTGT